AGAGACGGCAGTCGCACTGTCGCCTTGCTTTCTCTCTTTAACAAAAAACTTTTTGTATGTTTGTATCCATGTTGACATGGGGAAGGGAACTGTAATGAGACTGATGATAAGAAGTCCCCACAATGATGGCACCGTCTACGTGTCACTTTTGTGTGTGTTGTTCCTCTTTAAAGACTTAAACTTGATTAGCATTCAAACTGGAACCTAAAAACCTCTCGTAACTAGCAAGTATATAAAAAAAATTTAAGTGACCAGAAAGTATCAATCATTCGCTGGAGAATAATGGATTTCCCTATGCTACCCATAATGCCTTTCTGCTAGAATCTCTCCCAGCCTGTCAGGCAGTACGCAGGCCTGGGAGGGAGGCCCCCACGCTCTCTGAGGCCGTCTTTGGCACTCTGTGATAGTTATGCGGGCTGTCAGTGGGGAAAAAGAACACACACCATCAGGTGTATTTCAGAAATTGCATGTGTATGGGATTACGCTGAAAAGGGAAGATTTCCGATTGAGAAGTTCTTCTTTCTCAAAGATCGGAATCTCAAATAACACTTTGATGAAGATCTCTGGTGACAAATTGGTCGGGAGAAGGATCTTTCTGGCATACCTCAATAGATCTGAAAACTTGACTCTCCTTTCAGTAGCTATCAGCCACCTATGCTCCTTTATGATTAATTAGGGTATTTTGTGGCAATCGTTACTTAACTTGCTTCTTGTGTTACGGTGACGGAACAAATGGCGGGATTAAGTAAGGGGGATCCTCTGTAAGACTAGAGGAGCCGCCGAAGCTCTGGGTGGGTAGCGTCGGCTCGGTGCTCTGAGCGTTCACACAACATGGAGGCGCAATTAAGTCATTAAGTCATCAAACTGGACACTTTCAAATCCCCCAGGTTCTCCCTCGTTCCACTTCTGAGCTTCCCTGGACTGCAAAGGTTGACAATGAAACAATAGCGGTCCAGTTTTTTGTTACACCTCGGTGGGTTAGCGAATACGCCTTCTGCGATAATTTCTCTGGAACTGTACGATATTAATTTCTGTCCCTGCCAAAATACAACACTAAAGAACACATATTAAGGATTGATTGTTGCAGTTTTTCCTGGATACAAATCATCTTATCAGCGGTAATCATACAAAGACATTTGCATGAAAAACGTGCCTTTCAAGTGCCATATAAATTTATTACCCACACAAACATATTAAGATACTTCACAAGTATATATATACACAAGTAAATATACTCATATATGAATATGTGTTACTAATTTATGAGCTACATCATCACCATTTTACAATTATATCAGTTGGCGTTCACACGCGGATCGAAACATTAAACACAACATCCATTATTTACATATTAGTTCTGAGTTGATGATATCTCTTAGATACGAATTTTCAGGGTTTGATGTGCAGTTTATGGGGATATGTAGACCTTAAAAAAAGAACTTTTAGGGATATAGAACCAGACATTTAACCACGTAGTAAAATGACAGGTTTGAACCCCCACCCTCAGAAATTTGTTAGCTATCGAGCATGTAGCCACGTAGTTAAATCACGAGATTGAACCGCCTCGAAATTTGCTTCAGCCTTTCGGTCAGCAAAATCTAAGTAAGGGGACCTCCCTTCCTAAACGAAAAAATCTACTGGGGGGTGCTGGTCCCTCCACGAAATTTATTTCTGGCTACTGTTCGGAAAATTCGGCAGGTTAACATATTTATCTTGCATTTACCCATTGTTAAAACGCTAAAATAAACAGCTAGCCGCTGTTATTATGAGGCAAAATTAGATAAAATAACGGACCAGTATTGATGTCCTAAGAAGTTCCAGAAAACTTTAATCTTTTATTCGTTAGTAATTTACCGGTGGCTGTCAGATAGGCTACATGCAAGTCGAGGTTTGTACTGTAGGTTTTGAAAGATTGAAAATAGTGGACCTGTACGGTGAAATATAAAATATCATTTATCAGTAAACATAACATTAACATAATGCAATGCAACATAATACATAGGAAAAAGACCACAGTTGGAATTTTAACTATAGCGTCATATTTTATTTTGTAATAAAAAAAAATAAATAAAAAAAAAGATGCCGAACATATTTACATTTTCTTTATTAGGGAAGCAGTATAGAACATTTCGGTTATTAGACAGATGATCTACTTAGATATCTGCTTTGATATTTACTTAATATTACCATTATTGAAGTTGTCTCGCAGATCGTGCCCACAGCCGCCTCAGATTGGTCTATGATGGCTCCCGTGTTGATGGGGCCACATCGCTTTAACTCAACCGCACTGTGAATTTCTGCTTAGTATAAATTATAGGGCATTCTAACCTGTAACCTGTACCTCATTTAATATAATTTAAATTACGGTTTAATCCAGCGTCCATAGGGAAAAATAAGAAACACATAACTGCTGAAATCAAATTTTAAAATAATTCGTTTAAACCCTCATACATAAAACCACCGCCGGTTTTTATATTTATTGAAATTAATACCAATAATAATAAGAAGAAGAATAAGAAGTTACAAGTTCTTTTCAGACATACAGCTCGTGAAAGTAAAATTGCATTATTCTGAGACTAAAAAAATATACGTGAGATTTTATGTCTGGCGTTTTCCTCCTTTAACCGTATTAGACAGAAAAGCAAAAACATGTGCAATACGCCTAATTATAGTGAAGAACAAAAAAGAGTATTACCGATCCTTAGGCATGCGTATTATTGGTATGGTACCAAAAAGCATTTGTTGAAACACGTGGGCCTATACTAAACAAAAACAGCAACGACGACAATAACAACAACAACAATTTATTATTATTATTAAATTGAGAAGAAATAACAATGACAATGACAATAACAATGTCGACGACAAACTCTAGTTGCCGTCGGCTGGTCTCCGACTGAAACACTGAAGCGAGAAGGCCTCCTCATCTGCAGTCCGCCTTTAGTGCCGGGGAGCTTCGTCCGGAGTTCTGAAGCCGTTTTCTCTGTTTGGCTACCTTTTCTCCTCGATAACATCGTATTATCCGTAATATCACCGTAAACACCGGTTAGCATATTCTGCTGAACTTTGCTAGAATGTTTGTGTTCCTCACTTCAACTAAACGAAAATTGATAATAATAATAATAATAATAATAATAATGACACTTGTTCCCTTTGTGTGGTCTTTGGCTTGAAATTACACTATGTGGAAGTCCAACGGAAGAACCACCGGGAGACACGGCAGCGGGAATCGCAGGAGGCGGCAGCGCGCTTCCCAGCTCCCCTACTGTCCTGTAATCCCTTTGAGACACAGCTCATTATGGTAGGATGAAGCCATTTTCCTGGACCGTTCTTGTTCATCTCGGTCTCAGCCAAGCATTGCGGCCTGGCGCCGCGGCCTCTTCACATCCACAACATCAGGTGTAATGTTACTGTTTGTTGTGGCCTGTGTAGACTAATAGTTTGTTGGACGTCTGTGTTGGTGTAAACCAGCGGAACATACACCTTGCGTGGCCGGGTCAGCCAACCGTGAGGACCTGTATACTAATTTAGCACAGTTTCAATAAACACAAAGCCAAAGGATGTATTCTTTGAGGGATCATTTTAACGCTTCTTTCGTTAGCATCTGGCAAGTTTATTTTGGATCGCAATGACGGGGACGTAATGCAGCTAGGATAACCCTGATAGAGAATTTGGGACATAGTACTTGGAACCCTGAAATCTTTTCTCGTGTTTGCTTAGACTCGCTGAAGAAGAGATTATTTACTTTAACTGAGACCATTTAAAGCTCTGTAAATCATTAGGAGAACACAAAAAAACAACACGACAGTCTGTTTAAATGGCACGCAAATACATTTGTATGCACGAGTTCCCTTGTTCTAAAAGGCCCGTGCCTTTAAGATTTTACTCTGTATCAGATCTTCTAGTCTAAAAGAACGGCATTATCATAATATTGTTTGTGATATTCATTATTGTATTTGAGGTTATCCGGCGTTAATTTAGACTAATTAAAATCATACAGACTTTTAAAAACAATTTTACCCAACCGTATATAATAGGCCTATTACAAATACGGCTGAAATATACAGAAGCAAATGTATAAATGTTACTTCAAAAAAATTACTTTTTCGTCACTGAAATAAAAAGATACCGAGGTTTCACTCAGTACATAGGGGTTAATTCTGAACATCCAGTACCTAAAAATGCAAACATACATTCTAAGAATTCGTCCTAGTTTATTGGCACACAGTACCAGCGATGATGAGCTTCTTCAAAGCCTCTTGCCTTGCCTATCCAGTCGTCTTATTTTAACATAAACATGACATTGAAGGAAGAACTTACTTAATTTTTATAATTCCTCGATTCCCTTCCTATTGTTCTGTCAGTTTGACTCTTTCACCATCTCATAGCACTACCAACTATCAGTATAGGATCCATCGATAAGCAAAACAAACACTGATCAAATAGCCCCGACGAAACCCCGTAAGGGGCTAATAGTGTCTGAAACCGGCTATGAGCAGTGATCGTCGGAAGTGGTGCTGTGAAACGATCTGGATAATGTCCAGAGCTCCAAACATATCAGTGCCATTTAGTGAAGAAAACACATCATATCAACATTCTTACAAATTTAAAAAGTATAATATCTAAAGCTTAGCCTTTATTTATAATGCGTATTTACCATCGAATGAACACATCTGCATTATGGTGAGTACAACTGGTAGTGGATGGGGTGGGGGTTATGAGGAAATACGGCAGGTACACCTGCAACCCGCTTTTGATATCAATACAGCACCCCCAATCATTTCGCCGAAGAAAAAGACATCCAACAGGAACGAGGCACATACACATAATTTGACCAAATGAAGATTAAGTACAGAAGTGAATAACTGGGGTGTATTTCTGGACAAAGGCTGCGCTTCTGCATTCCGACCACTCCGTCCTGGATGGAAATGGGTGTGGTTTTAAAAAAAAAAGCCAGATTTAAGTGTGCCCAGTACCACGTGCTCATTGCTTGGCTAATGGCTGTTGGAGGAAGTGCTCAGTACTGAAAAGGTAAACCCCGGCCGAGGGGAAGCCCACCGCACAAAGATTGAACAACTGTTGCGCCAACTTGTCAAATGAACTAAGGTCTTGATGCGGCTTTAAAATCTGCTATAGATTCACGCTATATTTTTCTCGAGAAGTCTCTCCGGTTGTTGCCAGTGATGCTTCCTAGTCCTATGACTTCTACGCCGTTCTCTGTTAAGGACATTCTCAAGTTGGAGCAACAGAACTCCCACCACGCTTTCCATCAGCAAGGATTTTTTCTTCCAGACCAGGATGTCCCACCTATTCAGTCTTCGCAGTGCATGCAGCAAAGCATGGAGGTCCTGTACAGTCCGGAGAAACCGCCGTGCACGCCGGCCGGACAAGCAAAATTCCCCGTAAAGTCGGACAGCTTTGACATCCTGAGGGGGCATTGTAGCTCACCGCTGGAAGAGAGTGATCCGAGCGACGACCCAGGTGAGCGGCGTCACCGTCGCGCTTACTCCAACTATATTTCAGTCGGAGCGTTGTACAAAATAATAATATGAAATTCGTTTAAAATATGTACCATCATTTAATTTTGTACTTAATCTGCGAATAATGTGCGTATTGTCATTTTTTATATTAACACTGGTACATTTGTAGGTATATGAGATGTTACAGTCTCTCAAAATTAATACTTCTTGTAAATTGATGTGCTTTTATTTGCTGCCAGAAACGAATAAACTTTCAAATAAACTTGCAGCAAAACATTAATCTCACAAACAATATGCGCAAGCACTATATACATGAAGTGAACAGTATACAAGATACTGCGAAAGCAACGTACAAGGCTGGCACGTGAAAGAAGGGTTTAAATAACCTTATTGTGGAACCGTGTACAGTATAGCTGTAAGTCAGGCGTTACGTGGCTTTGGCGTGAAATGTAAAGACGAAATTGCTATTGGGAAATGTCTAATTATTTTCAGGTCACGAATAATGTTACTTTCGGTTTTAAACAAAACAATAATTGCATAGCAAAAAATTATACATAGTGTGTATGATAAAAATTGAATATATCCTAGCTATTGATATACATTCAACGACGTTTTAACTTTTAAAATACCAAAGTTCTTTGAGGATATAAGACATCTGTCATATTACGTTTTTATTCATTCAGCTAGCAGATTTTACAAATCCGTTATTTACGCTACATCTTCAATCATACATTCATGTTTTGCTTGAGGCCTTGCAGCATATGGAACAGCCGTCCTGCGCATCTTAGTTTTTGCCATTAATTTTAAAGCATTAACTGAGCATCTCTTGAAATTACCTCTTTTTTTTGTATTGCAGGCACCTGTGTGCATGGCGACTCGCCGGACTGTAACAAGAAGAGCGACGACATTTTCTCGGACCGACCGAAGCAAAGACAGCGCAGGAAGCCGCGGGTCCTCTTCTCTCAGACGCAGGTGTTCGAGCTGGAGCGTCGCTTCAAACAGCAGCGGTACCTGTCTGCGCCTGAGCGCGACCACCTCGCCGGCGTCCTCAAGCTCACCTCCACCCAAGTTAAAATCTGGTTCCAGAACCGGAGATATAAGTGTAAGCGGCAGAGACAAGATAAGTCCCTTGAATTAGCTGGACATCCTCCCCCACCACGAAGGGTGGCAGTGCCGGTGCTCGTGCGGGATGGCAAACCTTGCCTAACGGGATCGCAGACATACACCCCCCCATACAACGTAACAGTTGGCACTTATCAGTACAACACCTATTATGGCGGCTACGGCAACAATCCGTACAGTTGCAGTTATCCAGGGGTGCCAGCCGGCCCTAGTGCCACACAAGCCAGCGGCCACATTGTGAATATGAATCTCGGCATGGGCAACGCGGATGGAACCTTGAGCCAACAGGGACACTTTCAGGCAACATTACAAGGAATTAGAGCGTGGTGAGAACTAACAAATGGAGCTCTCGTGTCTAAGTGACCCCTTTTTAGAAGAACATACGAAATGACAATTAAGCAACAGCACACCCGATGTCAATTTTACTGAGCTGATTTTTGTTTTGTTTTGTTTTTTTTTTGTTTTTGGATTTAACAAATCCTGGCTGTGTCTAACTAAAGAGTAAACAAAAATGAGGATAAGTTTATATATATTTTTTTGTAAAATATGTCCATTATTTTCAAACAGTATATGATTTTATACTTTTGTATTTAGGCAATGGAATGATAGAATAAAGGCGAATGTGTTGTTTCTTACTTGAACCGTTTGTTTATTTAGTCAAGATTGCTTATGGTGTTTCCGAGCACAAAATCATTGTGAATGTTTGTAGTATTAAAATTTAAAACTCTGAAGCACCATATTTGTATTTTAGAAGGGAACGTACATCGAATAAATAAACGCTTAATAAATGGAACAGAACAAACCCATGTCATTAAAAGGAGTTTGTGTAATCAAGTACACTCTTATTTTTAATTTAAACTAGCCTAAATGCTTTATAAGTAATTTTTTTTTCGTCAATTGTAAATTAACGACGGGTTGTTTCAATCTCCTCCGGGTTTCCGTACTAAGAGATTATGGCATTCTTAAATAACAAACGGCAAATTGTTTCACACAAAGTAAATTTGGATTACATTTAAATATACGCCCTAGTTACAATCTCACCAAATTATTTAAGAAATTAATTAAAAATGAGAAATTCTTTATTATAATCATGAAAATGTTTTTATAATCTTTACAAACTTTGCGTATATTATTGCAGATAGATGCACACGACACAATTGTATTAATATTTTAGAAACAAGTAAAAGTATACATACGTTTAATGGATCGTTTAAATGATAACGGTGTGTGTTAATTCTTCTCTTCACATTTATATCAAAAGACTAACAAATCCACGATAGGTAACAGGTAGAGTAAAATAAGGTATAACTACGAGCAAACGTTAAAATACATTATGGGCTAGTATGCAGAAAACGCTAACGTCAAACTGAAATTTTACGCATTTAAGCGAAACTTTTTAACAAAATATATTTCTAAACCTCCCCCGCATGTTTATTTGATCATCACCAACTATCTGTGCTCCCATTAAAAAACAATTAGGCCTAACCTATAGGCTATTACTGATTGAAACATTACTAGAAACCATTTAAAATACGCAAAGACTGATATGCTTTTTAACCACTGTGATTGTTATCATTATCAGATTAAACTAATATAGACCAATTTCTAGGGAGACAGTCTAGTGTTAAATGCAAGGTAAAATTACTAAACTATCTATATTCCTGCTTTATAACACAACAATGGACTAATATTTCCTAGTCCCTCTGTGTAAAAAGCTGTTGATTTAACCGATTCTTAAAGCTGGCCGCAATCTTAATTCTATCAAATTGGGAGGTCATTATTGTCCTACGGTCAAAACATCAGAACAATAGCAGAGAAGCGCGATAAGGCTAGAGAACCTGGCCGGCAGAGGAGCGCAGGTAAGAGTAAATAAACCCGCAGACACACTGGCTCTGCTTCTCTTGTAGCTTTCGATCAAACAAGGAAACATTACCAATCCGATTAATTTGCAATCGATCTGAGTGCGAGATACAAGCGCCACTTGAGCTGCTCAGAGCTAAACGGTTTAGATTAATTTGGAAGTCATAAGGGGAAGGATTCCCTACGCGACTGGCGGAGATTCCGCGTTTCCTCTCACAAAATGTCTAAATCTGACTGTGGCGTTACTACGTATGTCAATATACAAAAATTGCCAAACAGATTCATATATTAAGATTTTTAAAGAGGTTTAAAAATCTAATCTCTCTGCAAAATAGTGGTTTGCTAGGCAATAGATAACCTATACGTGGCCTTGCATATTACTACGCATTAATCGAAAAGTGTTATTTTCATCACACTGCATTTCACAAAACAAAAACGTACTCAGTGAACCCACGACACCGGATGTCTGCATTCGTCTATATTTTTAGTGTATCTGTCGCACAACCGAGAACTTTCATTAATGCCGCAGCGTGCCGACGAAACCAGGATCACCAGGTCAGATCACCAGATCAACCACCGCGTTGTGTCAAGATTGCAAAGGGCGTTTATCAATTTTAAATCAGTGCTTTATTTCACTATAATAACCACCATACAAAATATAACTATGACTAAGCAGACAGGGTATTACAGCGATTAGTATCTGAGTGAAAAAACCACCTTACAACGGCAAGGTCACAATGTCATCAATCCGTAAATCTAAAAATAAATGAAGTAAACGACGGCCGACAGCACGTGCGCGGTGTAGTGGCCGACTGAAAGAACGGAATAGTGATGTTATTTCATCCTGGCATGCACTGTTTCATACTTTCACCAGCTATATCATATTTTGTGATGTCTGCACGTTAGATTTTTATATACAAATCACAAATAGAATAATTGAACCATTTATAAAGTGGCCTCACGGTAAGTCTGCTAAGCAGTAGGCAGTATGAAAAAGGAGATGCTTTTTATCTCATCTTGCAGTTGTTTAGGCTGCTGAACAAGCATTTAGTACCTGGAGAGTTTATACCTGCAAGACCCAATCTGTCTTATCTGCTCACCATTTACCTGCCATTATACTCTCAGCCCCACAACAGTGCAGGAGAATATGTCCCAAGCATATCGCCCCCCCATGAACATTAACAGGCACACGATGGCCTGTTTGGGGGGGCTTAGTGCTGGAGACTGATGGCTGTTTATAATCGATACATCAGCAGTGCAGTGAGAGAAGACTGCAAGTAAATTCCCCCCCCCCGAGCCCCCAAAGTGTCAGTGTTGGAGCTTACACCTCATCCCTCCTAGGCTAGCTGGACAAAGCCTGGGGGGCAGGGGGGGGGGGGGGCAAGAGAAGCACAACAGAGCTTGGAGATAAGAGGGTGCTGTGGTTCTGTGCCGCACTAGCGGCAGACAGAGTGGAGACCGGAGCCACTTGAGCGGATCAGATAAGCAGCGCGTGTGTCGGCAGCTTAGCTTAGTGCTGCGGCCTGGCGGCTTTGGCCCAGTGAGGAGACCCTGCAAGGCAGCATGGGACGGGGCCGCCATTCCCCAGGGCGACTGCTGCAGTGCGGACCATGTGTGTACTGCAGCCGGCATCACTAAGCAGCAGAGCCGGCAGGAGACACACCTGATGGCCCCGGGGGGCCAAAACGCGGCTGCGGAGCAGTGCCCCCCCCCAGCCCTAACCTTAACCATACGTAACCAAACAAAATACGAGGCTTTTGGAATTTTTCATTGTTTGATTGCATTTATATAATTTGTATGAAATTCCGTTCCGCCTTTGTGGAGACTGAAAAGTAAGTCAAAATAACATTTGGTCCCCACAATATATATGACCCCCCCCCCACCACACACACACGCACATATACACATGTAAAATAACTTACCACCAGACCACATTAAAGGTGCTGATTTATAAATCATATACCCCCATGAGAGTATCAACTGTAATACTGACCATTATGAGAACTAGGGGTTCTCATAACTAGGGGTTCTCATAATGGTTTTAAAACATGGGTAAACTATGATAGACTTAGATTTGTCATTGTCAATAAATATATTTTATCATGTCCCCATAGGAAAACGAAATTGAAATAACAGAAATAAACCGTGTAAACTTCTGTGCAGTGTTTATCGTTTCATAATCACATATCATCCTTTTGCGCATGTTTTACATCAGAAGACGAAACAAACAACAAATGACAAACAACAAACAGCAAAAATCTTAAATATGCGAATCAGAGCCTACAGCAAAAAACGAAGTAAGACTTTAAATCACTGACCCAACGCACAGGGAAACCGGACTTTGTGTCCATCGATTTAAAAACTGGAGAGGCAATAATAAACACAACTTATTTGCAATTCTCAGTTAAGCCGCTGACAGCCATCTACATCTTGAGCTTGGAAAAGTCTTATTTTTGTCTTGTCTGTACCGTCCGGAACAAAACTAACGGCCCGATCGTCTCTCCCACTTCCCCTGCGTACACACATCTGTCGGCACTTAGGAGACATCACTCAGCTGTCCGCCATCTATAAACAGCCTCTTGTCCTCTGGCAGGAGCAGGCCAGACCTCGACGGTGCGCGGCGGAGCGTCCAGCCTCCCGCGCCGCGGCTCCTCACACCCCGCGCCGCGGCTCCTCGCCCCCCATCCGCTCCCACGTGCATCTCTGAGTTTTACAAGCTGTTCTGCTACGTTTCGCAAACCGGTTGTGAAATATCGTTAATTTATGTTTCATTAAATCCTACAGTCGCCCACTGTGCCTCCGCTGAATACATGCGCGTCTGGGCGCGTTGGTGCAGTTCCATGAAGGCAGATTTTTTTTCAACAACAAGCTTTATACGTACTTTTTTTCCGGGATTTTTATGGCTGGTTTTCTTCTTGCATACCGTATGTCAATGTGTTTTATTCTGGGTGAAATAAACAGTTTCAAAATGTAAAGTAAGGGAAGAAACATTCGTGTCGATTGGAAATATTTAAGTTTGTCAAGTGCTTTGAACCAATTATTCCGGGAATGGATCTTTGTAAAATATGAATTGATTTATTTCGATAGTTTCTTACTTAATTCATTTAGAATGAATGACTGAAGCACTGAGACTTAAGGAACTGAGCAATTACATTTTATCCGGTCTTAATGAGCATATGTAAAATAAAGATAGGCCTATTCTCCCAGAAGGGATGTATTGTTCATTTACAATTCCACAACTCGTCCTGAAATCTTTAGAAATTTATATTGCTGGGGTGCCAACACCGTGTCCCACCTCATCACCACGCCCTTGGCTGGTGTATAGCGTTACAGAAGAGCCGTACTGTTCTCAGCACACTGGAGAACATTTTTTAACGATCAAAGCTACTAAGAGATATACAATTTGACCTGCCATTCAGTCTGTCATCGCCTCACCTTGACATACTCGTCTTTCTTTGTTCTTACCAGCTTGATTTCACTTTTTAATTTTTCGCTAATAAAGTTATGGCACCGCTTTTAACTCACATTTCTACATTTCGGTTATTATTATTATTAGGTTACGTCAAAGCAAAAGCAACTCCTGGCCACAGTATATAGGCGGCATTATATCACAAAGTCTTAAGACTGCGTCTTTAGGTTTCCCCAAAGGCAGTACTTCAGAACAGCTCTCTACATCACACAATAAGCTCTTTCAAATATACAGTATATATTTGAAATAGTAGCCAAAGAAAATAACATTACTGGTAATTAGTTCTCTGTTTACCATTGCACTCTATTAAGCGAAATCTTAGTTTTTTTTTGTATATGCAGTACTTCGGTTAACGTTGTACTTGAGTACATGGATAGCAATTATAACCTCGCACTGCCCCCTGCTGGATATGGATTTAAATTTTCCTCACCTCAGGGTGCAACAGGATCTCTTTTGGACCAAGAAACAAAGAAAAACCGCTTCTAGTTCAAACACTATTACTTTAATGTTGAAGTGTTTTCCAAGATATATTATGTTCAAACAACATAGCTTTCACCAATCCAGAGATTTAATGATGGATATCAGAAATAAACCATGTTATTACACTGATGAACCATGTTTCCTGCACTGATTCTTGACTTTAAAGGAGTGGTTTTGTATTAAAAACACTGCTACCTTAAATTGACTCTACACATTCTAATTCCAGACATCCATCCATTTTCCACCCACTTATCCTGGTCTGGGTCCTAGAGGGGCATGGAGCCTATCCCAGGCAGCACAAGCCAAAAGGCTCCGGAGCATACTGGACAGGATGCCAGTCTACCACATACACCACGGCCGAGTTACGAATGGATTAAACCACGACATGGATGGAACATGCAAACTCCACACACACAGCAGAGGCAGGAGGTGTGACGCAGCAACTCCACTCAATTGCTTGTGGTTCAATGTATATGCCACTCCAGAATGATTAAAATATAATTAGTGAAACAAAGTAACATATTTAGACTGTAATATGTTTCTTTGCAAATCAAAATGCGCACATATAATTATATGAATTATATACAACATCATGATTAAGCAGGGTAAAGGGTAAAGATTCGCTTTTTAAAAAGTGTTGAGAAAAGAGCCGATACAGATGTCTGTAACGTTTAAGGATGACTCGTGCCACTAGAGGGCAGCTATGCTATATATTACTACTAATACGCAGCATCCTCTACTCTATGGTCACATGCTTCCGCAACTCACATAGCGTTAAAACCTTAAAACTGTGAGGGAGCAATTAAACCTAAAAAGGACGATTATTATTTTTTTTGTGATTAGTGTGTCTACTGTTATGACACTCTCACATGTCACCATCAAGACTGAAGATGGCTTCAATGGCAACTGGATGCTGATAGCTGAGTCCACATATCAAGCGCAAACATCAATCATCCCTCCCAGTACAGATCACAGATAGACTTGTTTCTGAGAGTCTAAGCGGCGATATCTTTAAGAGAACAAAGTTTTTAACTGGTATCGGGTGCCCTCTCCATCTTTAGATGGCAATGGGGGAGAAAAAGCAACAGAGGACTGCACACACACACACACACACACACACACACACACACACACACACACACACACAGCATAAGATATATGCCTTCCTGGGCTGAAAGGTCAGGCCCTAACCAGTCAACATCTGGTGTTGGATTAACTGGGGTTACTACATATCCGGGTCAGTGTGTGACCAGCATGGACACCATAAACAAAAGGAGGGGTCCGTGGGGATGGGGAGTCACACATGGGGGTGAGTAATGCTCCCGCAATCACGACGCTTGTTCTACACGCGACACGGGATGACATAGTGTGCCGGATCAGCCCAATATGTGCAGCCTGCGAGTCAGATAGGCATCAGCAGAAACCAAACAGGAAAAAGGCTTGATCAAAGGTCCTAAGGATAAAAATACAGTATGCAGGTACGCAGCACACGGACAAAACGTAAGCAGTCTATTCAAGGGGATGCCAATCGCTCCAAGAAAATCTGTAACAGAAGGTTTACTTTACTCAAGAAACAACAAGTGTTTGTCAATTAAGCCTTGAAAAATGCCTACATCCATGTCCGGCTTGCCACAGTTATAACGATGTATTTAGGAAGGGAGAGGTTTAGAATGACTTAGCTACTTGCCACTCGCAGTTTTATGGCATTCTTGATCAGATGTTTGAAAAAGGTCTTTGACAGATAGCGCCCCCCAGAAAGCACGCATCTGTGCCCAGAGCTGGACATTCCCTGGTGCCAGGTCAGCCGTCCAAACTAACACCAGGAAATGCTCAGTGCCGGGGGGGGGGGGGGGGGGGGGGGGGGAGGGGGGGGGGGGGGGGGGGGGGGGGGGGGGGGGGGGGGTGGGCTGGTTACAACAAACATTCTGCAATGTGCGTGTCAGGTGAGGAGCCGAGCGCAATGTGCTGAACACATTAGCCCCCCGTGGGCCACCCACCCTGACCTGGTGCTCCACTGCACTCACACCCCCAGACCTGGAGTTAGGGAGCCCCCCCCCCCAACACACACACACACACTCGGGTCCTGCCTGCTAGCAATACAGATATCCAGTTGCACAATAAATCTCACACAGGCAAGAGATAAGAGGGACAGCAGAGGCTTCCAAGCTGCATGCATCTGGACCCTGGCTCCTATCTCAGGCCTTTAACAGAGAAAACTGACACGTAGCTTTTCTACCAGGTACTGATCATAAGGGATCACTGCTCTTACTCCAATAAGACAGTGCAGCACCATGGGGCTGACTAGCTAGCAACTCCTTAACATGACTACAGCATCATTATTATCATCATTATTATTACTGGTACTGTTCATTTTATTATTCATCTACCAATATGAAAATAGTTTTTGAAGTTTTTTTTTAAAAACTTTGATTGTTATCTATTTTATTAAATTAATTATCGCCATACGCAAAGACTGCATGGAAGTATGCAAAACCTGTAAGTTAGCTTACAGGGAGATAAATAAGCACAATGAAATGGCATTGTAACAACAACACAACAATGGCTATTAAAAACAACAACTTCAAGTGTCAGTAAATACGTTTCGGAGTCAACCGGTAGAACTAGACGAAAATTGTGGATACCAGAATAATACTAAAAACTATTATACGGATACAGATAAATGCTCATTACACAAATCTAATCTTTGATTTTCAAGTGAAACCTTTAAATCAAAGCTATTTAATGCATTGTTGAAGATACCGAAAACTCTTAAAATCGTTACACATCAGCAGTTAAAAATCAACTCTGAAAATTAAACTAATTTAACTAGTATTAAGTAATGTAATGGTTTCATCTAAAGTTCATGTATTATCAAACTTCAAATATAATAAAAAACAAAACCGCATCAAAGAAAACGAAGCCACGGAAAACAGCCTTCGATCAAAAGTATGTAAAACTTTGACAACAATAATTCGACCTAAATCACAGCGCGATGTATCTCGCTTAGGGTCCCCAGACTGCACGCATTACGTCATGCACCCTGGTTCGCTTCAGCCAATCAGAGCGGGCGACACCCGCCCGCAGCCCTAATGTATAAATTGAAGTGACGCGAGGTGTAAGTGTTCAAACTTTCAGAGTAAACTTTAACTGGATTTATCCGATCGACATCCTAGTTTATTTGCATCTTTTGAAAACCCGAAATAAGTATAATTTAAGGTGTGCAGATTTGCAGCAGACATGTCTACCACGGCCAGACCGTTAACGTCGTTTCTTATTCAAGACATATTATCTATTAAAAACGATAATCGACTGCACTCCTTTGGACATACTCCTCTCATCGAAACAAAGCCAGGTGGAAGCCCCACGGGTACAGACGTCCAGCAGCCTACGGATAAATGGGATCGGTGGGTCAGAGCAAAGATGCCTCATGATTCACTGGAGGAAGAGTCGGGAACCAGGAAGAGCGCACACTTCGATACTCCGGGAAAGGGTAAGATGTGAAGACAGATTTTGACCTTAAAATTGTGAACTGTATTGTGATTGAAAACCAAGGAAGTTACGCACGCTCGGTGTTAAATATATATCCCTCCAATTAAATACACATATTTTGGTGGTGCACGACGGATTATTGCTAGTATTGAATAGAATAATTGTTACGTATTTAATTAAGGGGACGCTGCTAGTTGGTAACTGAAGTGCCTTTGAAATCGTTAACCCTGCATCTGATCCACAGATTCATCGGACAGATCGTGCACGACTTTCTCGGATCTCAGGCGAAGCTTGGCGGTGGAGGGCAGAGACGCGGCGAGCAAACAGAAGCGCAGCCGCGCCGCCTTCACCCACCTGCAGGTGCTGGAACTGGAGAAGAAGTTCAGCCACCAGAAGTACCTGTCCGGCCCGGAGAGGGCTCACCTGGCCAGCAGCCTGCGCCTGACCGAAACGCAAGTTAAAATCTGGTTTCAGAACAGGAGGTATAAAACCAAAAGGAAACAGCTGGCCACAGAGTATGCCAAGGACTTCCTGAAGAAATCAGAGGGACTGCATTTCTGTGGCACTGAGGAGGACCTGGTCAGGGCATCTTTCCTCGCCATGATGTGTAAGACATATCAGTACCGACCATATCTGTACGACTTTAACGGATGGAAATCGGCCTTGTGGTGAAAAGTTAAAACAGTGGACTAAATAAACACGTATGTTTGGACATTCAAAAGGAGCATGGAAAAAACATATACGACAAACTGTTAACTTTACAACAGGGGTGGCCTGGGTTTTCTGGTGCCCTAAGCGAGATCCACCACCCCTCCAAAGCAAAAAATACATGTTGTCAATTAATTTATATTTAAATTAATTTTAGTAGCACATGTCAGTTTCACAAGAAAAGTACTTAAATATCAAAACTAGTGTAAATAACTGTAATGTCACCGAATGCAACCAAGGAGTATTTTTTTCACTCGATCACCTATGCCACCTGTAGCGCAAGCTGCCCCTGCTTAACAATAAAGTATTTTATATTATAAAGTTTTGAAAGTGTGTGTGGGTAATTTCGTTCTGTAGTTTCAAACATTCCAGTTTTACTTAAAGTCTCAGGTTGTTGCATTTCAGAAGAGCGCTGCCTGAAATGCGGGGAATCCCTATCTTGGGAAGCTACAGAACGGGATTTGTTTATGATAATTATGAAAGTGTGTTTATCTGTTCATACTCATGATTGTTACTTCTTGCTCTCCTTCCAATGCCTGGGATGTCAATGATCCATCTGCCTTCTCACTTATCCTGTGTAGGGTCACGAGGAGGATATCATTGATGACAGTGATGTAATTATGTTGCTCAGATGGGATCCTGAACTAATCTCTTTTTCGTTACACCCTGCTGTTCATTGATGCAGTCATTTTTGATCAGTTGCAGAAAGCTGAAGTGTTAACAGTATTAAGTACTTCCGTCTGCCCACTATAATCCTAAAGCCAATATGGACTGATTGGTTGACACCCCCCTCTGCTCAGAGACCCGGATGGATGCTCTGTATAAAAGTACTAACAACCTGCAGTGAATTTAAGTGTGTGTGTGGGGGGATGGATACGGCACAAAGTGGGTCTGCTCCCTGGGTCGGGTGCCCGTCCATCAGTGGGCAAATTACTCACAGACACTCGCAAACCACAGGCTATTCAGAGACTTCAATTAGTCAAACTTCAGGTCATTGGGCTACAGGAAACATCCCACACAATGCAAGGAGGACATGCAGATTGCACATGTACAGAGTGCGGCTGGGATTTAAAGCCAGTCCTGTATCTCTTGAGTCCCCATGCCAGCCTGTAAATTTACATTTCAAGTAATTACTTTAACCTTCATAGGCAAATTACACATAAGTACATGAACACAATAAAGCATTCAAGTATGCTGTCGCACCTTTTACATATTAATCTGTATACATCTCATAGACCTCACAATTACATTGCCTGCATATGGTATGTAAAGTAGTCATTATTGCCAGAGGTGTATCGCTGCAAGTCCTGCACTGGAGTGCATGCATTACTGCTGCGGTCAGGCGCATTTTACACGCATGTACTCCTGCAGCCCTTTACATGAATGAAATTAAAAAAAAAAAAACAGTGACAAGTGAGCTCAGTGAAATTCCTCAGAGCTGTAACACGGAATTCGATGATTTAGCGACTTTAAATTGGCCAGAGTTTGTGTGTGTGAATGTGCGTTGTGATGAGCCGGCATCCTGTCTGTGGAGACTCCCTGCCTGCCATCCTGATCCTCCTGGGAGGGGGCCCAGGCTCTCAGGGGGCCCAGGCTCTCAGGGGGCCTGCATGGGATGAGCAGAATGGAGGGCAGAAGGGTGGTCGGACTTGCTGGCATGATGACAGCACCTTCTCTCCCGTGTCCAAAGTCATTCTCTATGTATGTGTTCCAAACACACAATGGTACATGAAGGCATGGCTATGATTCAGCTAAATCCTTATTGACAGACTGATATTATCCTTCAGTGAGGTTAATGTGACTGTGAGCACCCAGTTTACAAATGGTCTGCTGCATCTTAGGAATACACAAACAGAATGTTCATTCACAGATGAATTTCTATTAAAATGATTTAGCCTGGTTTTAAAGGGTAAATTTCCAACTAAAATAAATCATTTCCCTAAGCATAAAGACAGATTTTTAAAGATCTGTTGTCAAACAATGACATCGACTGTACTTAAGCCCTGATGGAGCGTGGAAATTGTGCAAGACAGTAAAGAGAGGATCTATCCCATAACATGTGGGCTTTCAAAATATTCAGCTCCCAGTTACTAAAAGATGTTAATCAAAGTTCCCCTATCAGAGGCAACCTAATCTGCAGTTTGACTCGGCACAAGGCAGTTTTAATTGTTGTAGGGTGGGGGTGCTGCTGGGGGTGGGGGGCATTCGGGATAAATAGGCAGCCTGAATGACGACTCACAAGGACAGCAGTGTAACCAGAGAGTCGGGGAAGCCCCCCCCCCATCCCCCATGACCCGCCGCCTCAGATCAGTCAGACAGACAGCGTCCCGCAGACGACTCCGGCTCCGCAGAAGACTGCCCATCGGGGGGGTTATGGCTGTACAGTAAGACAGGCTCCTCAAATTCTACCCATGGCTGGAACGCTTGACCTCATCAATCATGCCATCCATCAATAAACGCTTCTAGCTGGGGTCACGGCTCCTGTCCCAGGAAGCAGAGAGACCAAGATAACTTGACGTCGCTATCAACATCCCCCCCCCCGCCCCGAGTCCCCACATCCTCTGCTTATAGCTTAAGGTTTACTTCCCATTGGCTGGGAGTAGCCTGTCCTTGCCAGCTGTTCATCGGGTTGTGGGGCTGGACCCAGCACACGCCTGGGTACCGGGTCGAGAGCAGAAAGCAGCTGGCTGCACGGGCGTATCTGTTATCAACATGTAGGGCAGCGCACGGCGACACAAGATCCCTGCCATCCCACAGAGGCTGAGATAAACCTGAGAGTCTGACGATAACGACCTCTCTGCAGCTGCTCGCTGTGTCTCCACACCGAGGGAAACGTGCTCTGGCCCAGAGGCCCTGCAATGGGGTACAGATGAGGGCGTGTCCCGCCGATTCGCTCTCCGATTGGCTGAGCACGTCGCAGACTCGCACGGGTTTATCTGAGAACCAGTGGCAGTTCCGGGCCTCCGGCACCCAAACGAGCCAGTCTTCTGGTTTCTGCCCAGTCTAACAATGCGTCAACTGGACCGGTGAGGGAGGGGACGCTGCCAGCAGAGGCTTAGACGCACCTCAGGACAGGCACTGTCACGGCCATTAATCAAAACGACACGGACCTTCAGTGGTCTCTTAGAGCGTGTCAGATCGGCAGAGCGATTAGCTGAATGTTCAGGGGTTCCGTGTTTGGGCCGCAGGGATCATGCCGGTAGTTCTCGATGGCTCCGACAGGCTGAGGAGCTCTCTGTACGTTCTTCCCCACACTCGCCATGTCGCCGGCACTTTCGCCATGAAAATGACATCTCCACACCTTCGAAGCTCCTCCTGTCAGATCACAGCAGGTTCTCAGCTCCGCTTGGACTTCGCCGATGGCAGAAACGCTAATACTAAAGCTGTTGGCATGACCTAATGCAAACTGCCATTCTATAATTATCAATGTAAAGTAAAACAAGTTTTTTTTGTTTGTTCCGGGAAACAGAGGCGTTACTAAGTCACTACTCAAGTTGGGCCTGATGTTACAATCCATTTGGTAAGACTGGCTCGAACAGCCCCCCCCCCAGCTCACCGTACGAGTAGTTAATGAGAGTTCTGGCTTCTTTGTCCTTTCCGTGAAACGCGCGCGATCCGCCGTGCTTGCGAATGGCCCAGCAAGGCATGGCCACGCCCTCTGACCTACGCGGCAGCCCTGGAATGCCGCCCATCCGGTAGCTTGCTGCTGGAAACATGTCAGCGGTGATCCGCGGCCGGCGCTCGGAGTGGCCCCCGGATTGTAAACAGAAGTGGCGGCTTATATTGCGCTCACCAGCCCCCTAGCCCACCCCCGCCCCCTACTGTGCAGGCCGTCCAGTAGTGAGCACTTATCAGCCAGAAATTCGTTCTGCTGGCCTCAGACTACTAGCTGGGGAGGGTGTACATGTGTTGTGTATCATTTGACTGTTGTGTGTGTGGGCTGGGCTGAGGACAGGCGTGGAAATGCATCAGAAGTGGATCTAGAAGTTGGAACTGATTGAAGCTACGTAGCAACATTCTGCTATGCTTAAATGGGATCTAGTAAGCTTAATAAATACTGCCTGCTGTTTGTGTTATTTATTATTTGTTGTTCACGGCACATCTGCTATTTGTCTGTGGGCTAAATCACAAGTACTGTACTTTACTGTACTTGATACATGTGACAATAAACTTCTGAGCCCTTGAATCATTGAATTGAATCATGATAATTATCAACATTTATGCTAGGGCTGGGCGATACGGCCATACAAGAGTATCTCTATATATTAGGTCAATGTATTGATATTCAATATATATCGGTATTATTACATTTAAAAAAAAAAAAAAGTCAAGAGAGAAAGTCAAAATAAATTCTGGTTTTAGTTATTCACAACAATATCTCCCAACTGGAAAACATTTAAAGTGCAACTCTGCTGAACATATTATCACATAAGACGCAAAAAAAAAAAAGTTGTTCAAAAATTAAGTGCATGGAGTGAAATTGAGGCCACGTATCCTGCTGTGACACTCGCACTTTCAGACTCTCACGCTCACGCGAGAAATCCTACGGCAAATCTATATTATTCCATTATAAACCTAAAATTATCTACATCAAAAGTGTTTGGGTAGTTTGCCAACCCTTTAGGACTATTTGCATGGTAACAGAACTGTTACATACCTGTAAATGTGTGTGCATGTGTGTACAGGCTTGTCTTGCATTGAAAATCTCACCCCAGTCAGCTGACCGACCGTGGCATGCTTGGTACTTGCGTTTCACTATCTGGACTCTCTTTGACATGCCGCAGGGCTTTGTGGTGGCGTCTGTCCATATGCAAAAATGGATGAAATATAGGATAAAAATTCAGTATCGTCCAGTTCAGATTTATACAGACGGAAAACTATTACATGTCAGAAGTAGTTATCACTACATTACGGCTAAGATGAGCTCATGGTCACTAATCAGTTCCTACTAGTGAGGCTGGGTAGAGCGATGCCCAGCTGGAGATGGGAGATT